ATTCACTTTAATCCATCGAAAAAGTACATGCACCGGAAGTCGGGTCGCGACAGCCCATCAGAAGCCTCCTTTCATCAGACTCAGCGCCTCGATGAGGGGAGGCTTTTGTGGGGTCAAAGTGGAACTAGCGAAATAGTCAATTTCCTAATGAGAACGTACGAAAGTGGCATTACCCGAAGTGCGACGGGAGGACAGGGAGACGCGTTAAACCGGAAATGGAGTGGATCGGACGAGCCCGGTTATAGGGGACATCTATCAAAATCGTTACGCAGTGTGAAGGTGGGGGGTTTAAGTAAGGGAGTATGGGGCGATTTGTAACAGGGGCGATTCCTAACAAATGCGTTTATTAATTTAAGTGGAGGGAGCAGAGGAAAATCTGAGTATGGCCCCTCTTTCGCTTCAAGTACAGGGTCCTTGAACAATCGAAGCGGATGTGATCGGTGCTCAGGTATAGTTTTGGAGGGCGTCTGAAATATAGGGTACACCGAAATTTCGGCAAACAGGCAAATCTTTTATTTTGAGTTCTAGGAAGTTTCTGTCTGAGGCTCCCCAGGTATGAATCACCATCGAAGTACCGTCGGGGCCTTGAAGCGTGACCCCTTTACAATGTAAACACGTGGCATAAGTTGCTTTTACTTTGTCCAGTGATAGTTTGGGACGGATTTCTTGCGTAACAGGCATTTGGGGTGATTCGTAACAGACCCGTTTAAAAACAAGAATGTAAGTAGTTTTTGCAATTAAATGCTTGAATTATTTCTCGAATCATGTGGTGTTTTATTCCAATACATTTACACAGCTCGAAATGCATCTTAAAGCGAATTATTCAATGCTTTCCTCTAAAATTGAAGAAAAACGGTGAGGTTAGGATTGACATAGCCTATCAGTTAATGCTGAGGCGGTCAACGGCAGCTTGTAATGTAGATTTTTAGACGTCTGCAGGACACCCGAAGAACAACTGGTGGAGGGGATAACATTCCTGACGATGTTTCATTTAATGTGTAGGATGTTATGAAGAGCCCCATGGCTGTTTCAAATCACCCCATGCTGGGGCCATTCGTAACAGCATGCAAGGGTTTGGAAAACGTCTTAGATTTCAAAGATTACGGACTCCAGATTGATCCAATGGAGCTGCACAGTCTAGATGAAGGGCCAGACTGCTGAACTGGCACAAGTTTGACACCGATATGCAGAATGTTCTTAATTTTGTATAGAGAATTCCGAAATCTGTTACAAATCGCCCACACTCCCTTACTAATTGATCCAGAAAGCGTTAGAAATAAATCATACGACTTTTCCGAATTGAATTTTTAGCCTTTAACATTGACTATGAATTGCTTACATCATCGCACCAAATTATTTGACTCAATTCCCAGCAATAGAGGACTCCAAAGAAGCTCTGGCCCGGAAGAAGAACAAAAACGGAAGTAAGAAATTGCAATATCTATGAGAAATATACGCTGCGCATGAGGGTCCGCAGCGTATATTTCTCATAGAAACTGCAATTTCTTACTTCCGTTTTTGTTCTTCTTCTTCCGGGCCAGAGCTTCTTTGGAGTACTGTATTTAGGGGTAAAAATTCACTCCTAAGAAAGGCCTAACGCACCTGGACCCCTTTTACGCTCTCAGCTTGCCTGAAAATGGAAACAACGTAATCGAAGTCAACATGACTCCGTTGAAATTATTGCCGATGGGAGGTGACTCCACTTGTTTTTATATGAATATTTTCTGAGTAATATCAAGTTATCTTACCTCCCCCCTTTCATTTTGAGAAATGAATAGGGTACTTTCGTAGATCCTGAACCAGAAGCAAGCAGACGCCATACTGGCCAGAAACTAACCTCTCTTCGGATCTGAAACTATAGCCGAGGTGTACAAATACTGCTCGCGGAACACACATGCACTGCATACAAGTATCAAACGACTGTTTATGTTCAAGTTAGGCCGATACGTTTGACTATCGCCTCTTTCTCATGTCAAGTTTTGATCTTCTTCCGCCAACATGGCGGCTGTGTGCTTCCGGTTCAGGATCTACGAAAGTACGCTATTGGAAAAAGAAGGAAGTCAAAAAAATATATTATTCCTACAGTAACCAGCGTCTTTTGCTGACTACATTTCCACTTGAATTCATTCTCATTCCAGGAACGTGACATCACGTTGAAACGAACGTGACAAAATGTCACGGCCGTGTCAAAATGACACGTTCGTTTTAGCATTGTGTCAGTCGTTTGGGTGTGAATTGGCTAAAAATCAGCTTGTTCACATTCAAACGAACGTGACACAATGCTCAAACGAACGTGACATTTTGTCACGTTCGTTTCAACGTGATGTCACGTTCCTAGAATGACAGTGTTGTCTTTAAGATCCATTTCGTTCAGGAAATGTAAGTTGGCCTTCTTTTTAAACGGGAAGCGATAAGTGACAGTAATCCTTGCACGGGGTGGAGGATCCTTCCACGGGGTGGAGGATTACCCACTTTTGTTGTTTATCTTAAAATATAATTTATGCTTCCTGAACTTGGTATCACCTATAGCATTCGTTCAGTTTTAGTTGTCCCTGCCAACAGTTTTTTTATCTCCTGAAAAATTGCAAAAATCGTGTTATCTCTTTTCCGCTTTGTGGATCAATGGCGTACCGGCGCTCTTTCCGTTTTTCTCTTCAAGTGCTCCTAACGCCACGAAGGGTCTGACGCCTACTAAAATATAGTGCTACTGAGCCTCAATGTATTGAGTTAACAATCACTTTAATCCACCTTAACGTTAAATTTGTTAAAATGTAACTAAATTTTCGGAAATTTTGAATGACTGAAGTATAAAACTACAACGTATTCGTTGCGGTACGAGTTTTTCGTTATTTTTGGTATGAGTGATTCATGGAAGAAATTTTCTCTGCTCTGGAAACTCAAATGTGTGCATGCACGGTAAAAACGGGACCTGGTTTTCCCAGGAAGCCAATGGTGAAGGCATAGGCGATTTCCAGGGAGTTCCTGGGAAAACCAGGAACCGTTTTTACCGTGTGGCTTTCTCTTAAAAGTGCATGCCTACACTGTTAGAAATTAGGTCCGAAATTTAATGGTGAAAAACTATAATCACGTTCATGGAGACTCCATTCATTTTTCTTCTTTTTCCGGAGAAATTTTCTCAGGGCTTAAAACATGTTCTTCGGAGCATTACTTAGGTCCTGATGGGAGATAAAATGTTAAAAAAATATGAAAATTCAGTCTGATTTCGTCTTACTTGGTGGTCTGAATCGTGAATTCATAAAATTGTACGAATATTAAGACTATCGGTCTGAAAAGTGTTACCTGTTGTCTGAAATTCGAATTTAGACTAGCAAGTCTGAATATTTAAAGCGATTGCTATCAAGTTTTGTACATTGCCGTCCGAAAACTAAATTCATACTTGTGAAGTCGGAAAACTGGTGAAAAAACGCCGTCCACTTTCAACATCTTTCGGCTTTCTCAAAAATTTTATCAATACTACTGTTGTATTTCAAATATTACGTTTAGTGTCATAGAGTAAACAGAATGTTTCAGAGCTCCCAAATGGATACTTATTGCTCTATCCGCCAGGTGGCGCTAGTGTCGCATGGTTGATCTTTTGGAGCTAAAATTGCCACTTGAAGGCGAAAGTGGGTGAATATTTTGTTACAAACTTATTCTAAGTGATTGTCTGAAAGGGCATGAGCTCACCAAAGCAAGATTTATGTTAATAAGTGCCATATAAGCTAAATAACAGAGAATACAATTTCACTCTCGCGCATGGCCACGGGTCGACGCGTGGTTGGGCTAAGGCCGCTCTCCCTCGGCTTTCAGCAGTCACCTTTGGGCTCTTCAGTGCCTATGGGAGGAGGTGCCTGCTACCGTGATCCCAATTTTTGAATCGACACGAGTCCCTCAGCGTCTATGATAGACCGATGGCAAAAGTTTACCCAACAGAGAGGTATTTTTTCGTGCGGCTGTCCAGTTCTTCGTACAATTTAGTCTGATAAAATAGACCGACTGGTATCATTTTTCATACAACATATTGATCTGAAAATTCAGTCTTACACCGTCTGAAAATTTAAGACCTCGAAGTATGAAAGTTTTGGTATGAAAATTCAGACTGGATGTATGTAAATCGACTTCTTACCAAAAATTATGAATTTTCAGCAATTCTTTTTATCAGTGTGTCTTTTCTCAGATATGTTAAAGAGGGCTTCGCCGAGGCATTCTTTAGTCTAAAATGGCCAAATGAGGGAGAACCTCCGTCGAGCTCATTTGACTTATATCCTGGTGGTTTCCCTTAATATTATGAAAACTGAGCTATACAAGTAGGGGTTCACACCTTTCCCTCATTTTGTAACCGGTAACATATATTCTTTTCGTGATTTCCTGATAGTGAAGCATGCATTTCTGCTCAAAATTCCGAAACTTTACGAAGAAATCCCAGAGTTTGCCTTCATGGTGAGCTCCATGCAGAAGTCTCGGAAAAACTCTATGATTTTCTCATTTTTCTCGGAAATATCTGACAGTGTACAGGAACACTGTTTCAAAGTCGAGGGGTCCTATTCAAAAGATCTTATCTGGGCGTTCCCCCCAAGACAATCTTATGTTAATTAAACGCCGGCAAATTTCACTCATTTTGATCAATCAGAATGAATACGGCGGTAAGCGAAACATATTTCCACATGCACTTTTGGTTTCTTTGATCTTCCATCTTTAGATTTACTTGAACAAACTCACAAATTATATTGATATGTAGCTGTACCAAATGATCAAACTATGTGAAATTCACCTGTCTGTGAAGTGAACAGGATTATGAATACCTTACTTGCTGTTATTTATTTGTTCTAGGTAAGTTCTTCTCAATATGCCGCGAAAGGGAAAGAAGAGTGACGCTGCGCGCCGCGCCCAGAATGCTGCACAGACAGCTGCTGCTAGGGCTGCAGAGACTCAGGACAAGGGTAAGGCTCGTCGCCTTGCTAACGCTTCGAGGGAAGCTGCAAGAAGAGCTGCGGAGAGACATGAAGAGAGAGAGGCTCGCCGCGCCGCCGATTCTGCTCGAGCAGCAGGAAGAAGAGCTGCAGAACGAGAAGCAGCGAGAGAGGCTCGGCGCGTCGCCGATGCTGCTCGAGCAGCCGCAAGAAGAGCTGCAGAACGAGAAGCAGCGAGAGAGGCTCGCCGCGCCGCCGGTGCTGTTCGAGAAGCAGCAAGAAGAGCTGCAGAAGAAGAGGAAGCGAGAGAGGCTCGTCGCGTCGCCAATGCTGTTCGAACAGCAGCGAGAAGAGCTGCAGAAGAAGAGGAAGCGAGAGAGGCTCGTCGCGTCGCCGATGCTGTTCGAGCAGCAGCGAGAAGAGCTGCAGAAGAAGAAGCAGTAAGAGAGGCTCGTCGCCAGGCAGACGTTGATAGGCACCGCGCAGCACGTTCTGAAGAGTCAGCAGAACAACGCCAGGCACGGCTCGACTACGAAAATGTCCGTTATCTTCGTTCCCGCGTTGTCAACGTCAACTCCGATCCTGCCGAGCCCAGGGTGCGTGGCGCTCGACCGGAGGCGCTGCCGCCTTGGCAAGTCTTCGAGCACGCTATGCAGGGCCTGCACTGGGACTACTGCGACAGCTGCAACGTGAGGAGGATGGAGTTCGTGGACAAGCCCTGCCCCAGGCGAACCTGCGCCAAGTTCTCGCAGGACTTCATGGACCCCGGTGTCGTGCCCCCGGAGCTCGAGCGGCTGTCCTTCGTGGAGGCCCAACTCATCGCGCGAATCCACCCCGTCGTGTCCGTCTACAAGATCCGAGGCCACCAGTTCGGATACCGAGGCAACGTCATCAACTTCCCCCAGGAAGTCAACGACTTGGCGCGCGCACTTCCCCACCGCATCCAGGACCTCTCCTCCATCATCGCCGTGCGCCAGCAGAGGGCCGACGGCCACGTGGACTTCCGAGTGCGCGCCGGTGTGGTGCGGCAGGCTCTGCTGTGGCTACGCGACAACAACCCGTACTACGCCAACGTCGAGGTCAGCGAGGGCAACCTGGCCCTTCTCCCGGAGGACGGCGACGCCTACCAGGTCGTGCAGGGCTACGCCGCCCAGGAAGAGGACCCCGACGACCCTGACGACCCGCATGACGAGTCCAGCGTGGACCACGTGGACGTGGACGACATCGCCGTGTCTGGAGTGCCCATGCTTCAGCCGCACCGCCAAGAAGACCAGGTGCACGCCGTACTCAACTACCCCACTCGCGGCACCGACCCCGTCAGCGAGGCGACGGCGGGGTACGTCGTCATGGCCTTCCCCAAGCTCTTCCCGTTCGGCAGAGCGGACCTCTACGAGGCCCGGACGAACGGCATCTCAGCGCGGCAGTACTTCTCGCACTTGCTGCAGCACCGCTCGGGGCGATTCGCGGACGACGCGCGGTTCCGCTTCTTCGCCTTCAACACCGTCATGCGCCACGACGCTCTCCGCGCGGGGAACCTCTACGTCCGCCGCAACGAGCAGCTGCAAGGGAAGACCGTGCGCCAGCTGCGGGAAATGGTGCGGGAGTGCGCCGTGCTCGCCAAGAACATCATGTTCTACGGCACCAAGCTGCCGGCCACTGGGCAGTACGGGGTGCGCGCCTCAGTGAGCTGTTGGACATGATTGACCAAATTGGTCTTCCCACGCTCTTCTTGACTTTGAGTGCCGCCGACTTCCACTGGCCTGACCTGTTTCGCCTGTTCCTGGCCTGCGAGGGACTTTCAGCGGAAGAGCGCGTTCTACTTGAAGAACTCACCGAAGAACACCGTCGAAACTTCATCGCGAATCGGCCATTCGTGCCCAGCATGTTCTTCATGAAGAGGGCCGAGCTGTTCCTCATCAAGATCTTGAAGATGATGTACCCTGTCACTGACATCTGGTTCCGTTACGAGTGGCAATTTCGCGGAAGTCCGCACGTGCATTGCCTCATCTGGCTTCGTGGGGCTCCAGACATGATGCGCGTCAAGGACATGACCCCCGAGGAGCTCGCCGCCGCTGTGGAGTACTTCTCCAAAACCGTGAGCTGCTTCAACTTCGGCCAGGGGCTTCCGCCCGCGGTGCAGCACCCCTTTCCGCATCCGCCTTGGCGACATTCCCGCCGAGGACCGGGAGCGCGCCTTGGGGGAACTTTTCAACCGCGTTCAACGCCACAAGTGCACTGCCAACTACTGCCTGAGGAAAGGGCAAGACTGGTGCGATCGTGTGCCGCTTCAAGTTCCCCTTCGAGTTGGCCGAAGAAATTCCATCGTTTTCGACGACAAAAGGGGGAAACTAAGTTCATCGGGCGGCGAAATGACGAACTTATCAACGGCTTCATCATTGCAGTCATCGCACTATGATCTAGAATCTCGGCGCGGAAAAAATTCCTACGGGCCCTTTAAATTTTCCTCTAGTAGTTATTTTGGGTCGGGGAATCCGAATCTGACATTAGTTTTGACCTATGGTGACGTGCCTCTGAAAAAAAATGCAAAAAAGCTGAAAAAACTAAAAAATTTAGAAAAATTGCTGTATAAAACAATTGAAGTCGGGGAAAGAGCTGCTGGCACTAGTATGGAGGTCTGGGACCTTTACTTCGTAAAAAGAAGAAGGGGGTGCAAGATATAAACAACGATGAAGCGGGTTTACTCTGCCATTCAAATTTTTTTTTATTAAAAATTTGAATTTTCCACACGATTTACCACAACCAGTTGAATTTTATTCAATGTACCGTATTTACACGCATAAACCCCCACTTTTTTACCTCGTTTTGACACCTCCAAACCCGGCGGGTTATATGCGTGTGCGGGTTATATGAGTGCACAAAAGGTGAAAAATCGTATTTAAGCGCTCTAACTACCGGGGAGTGGAGCGGGGAGGGTGGGGCGAGGTAGAGTGTGCGAAGCTAGCGCTAGAGTTGTGAACTACGGTCATTTGGCGGCTGCAATAATGACAACGAATACAATTTCCAATAAAATGTAATACTGGCAATAGTCGTAGAAACCACTGAATAATGGGCAGAAATATAAAAATACGACGGTGCTGCCCTCTGTCGGTTCGTGGCGGCCCGCGCCGCCAGTTCAAACAGGGGGTAGCCGTCATCCTTGTACCCTGTCGCGGGTGCGGGTTATATTCGTCAACAAACGATTTTTCACCTTTTTGGACACTCTAAAACCCGCTGCGGGTTATATGCGTGTGCGGGTTATATGCGTGTAAATACGGTATAAAACGAAACAAAATGTACAGAAAAAATCCGAAAAAATGTCTTAAACAAAATGTAAAACACAAAGCGACAAAAACACATTTTGTCTTGTCACTTTAAAAATGTAATTTAACTAGTTTCAGAACGCGAAAGTTATACAAAAAGGCACATTCCTTAATTTACTTTTGGAATAAAACTGAGCTCTTTCCATTTCTTCTAAACTGCTTTTCTGAGAGTGAGAATTGTGCCGCATTTTCCTTGATACCTCGCATCATGTTCATACATCACTGCGAAAAAGTTGCAACCAGCCTCCATTTGCTCCCTGCAGACTCACTTCTGATGTCCCTGGGTTCATTTTCGGTTTCACGTTTCTCAATCTCGGCATTTTTCTGCCTATTTTCTGAGCTTTTAAGCCCACTTCCGGTGATTTTGAGTTCACTTCCGGTATGAACTAAGAGTAAATATATGTCCTTGATAGCACTTTTGAAGCCCGTTCGTTCCATATATGTATGTGTCCATGAGTCCTAAAGCAGGCACGGACGGAATTTTGTCTTTAAAAAGCTTAAAAAAACCATGTTTGAGGGCTGTAAAATCGCGGGGTCGCAGGTGGTCGCAGCATTTGCCGATGGATTATCAAACTATGGTGACCGGACTACTGAAAACTGACCACCAGAACCCAGCCAAACCCAGCCATTTTGATCCCGGCTCTCGGAAAAATTCGAATTTTAACAATTTTGCCAAATTGTGTAAAGAAGTTTTCTGGCTTTGCCATTAATCCGAGAATGACACATAAAAAAACACCGTAAAGTGCAAAAAAAAGCCTGAAAAAAGACCTTTAAAATGGTATACAGGGTTTGTGGGTTCGAACCCGCCTTCCCCGGGAAATCGAGGACGGACGGAACCTCAACGAAGAACGTCAACAAACGTCCAGTCAATTTGACAAATTTGTCAACTTTGGGAGCCTCCCATTAGTCGGAGGCGACCGACCGAGGTGTTTCTTGACTTGATTCTTGTCAGATGGACATTCAAGGATAGTTTAAGCCACACGGGAGCCAAATCAGAGCACTTTCGTTTTTCTGAATTTTTTCCGCGTTTTCGGGATTCTAGATCATAGTGCATCGAGGCCTGGAGAGCGAACATGGACGCCAAGCCGGTCACCTCGCACGATGGCTGCGTCAACTACCTGGCCAAGTATACCGCCAAGCCCGAAAACAAGTCGAAAACCATGCAGGAGCTTTTCGAGGACGCTCTGTCTGGACTTCAGGAAGAGGACAGCGCCAAGAAAGCCATCCAACGCCGCTGCATCCAGTCCGTCAGTGAGCGCGACTACTCTTCGCAGGAAATTCTTCACTTGGCCACTTCCCAGAAACTGTTCCGCTCCAGCAGGGCCTTTGTCAAGATCGTCTTTACAGACAGGAATTGGGTTCCGGTCGGACACAGCGCTCAAGACACAGATGTGGCCGACGATGTTGAAGCCGACAACCCCGACAGCCCCAACGAGGATGCAGACTACGACCAAGATGGCGAACTTGTCCTAGAAGAGGAACTCCCTCGGGGCTCTCTTCTGGACAAGTATCCGAAGAGACCAGCCAACCTCGAGAACATTACGCTGTGGGAGTTTGCCCGGGAGTTCCAGTTCAACAGGCAAACACGGAGGTAAGTTGCCATTATTAACTTGTCTTCACACCAATTGTTACTTGCCTTAAATACCACGTTTTGCCTCGCTCTCGTGTTAACTTCAACCGAAACTTGCACCATCGGTGAGAGGGGTGTTTCAACTAGAGATGTGCGCTGACCGGTCACGACGCCGCCGCCGTCGAAGGCAGCCGCGCCGCCGCCGCCGGTCCGATCGGTCGGCGTCATCGGCGCGAATGAATCTTTTGGTTGTGAAGGTCTCAGATCACAAAATGCCTCGAAAAACTGAAGTTTTCTTGAGCTTAACGCGTTTTCCTGGCAAAAATTTGCCATTCCAACTTTACCTTACCTTCCCCACCCCTCTTTCCGCCTTGGCGACGTAGTTCATAAAGATGCCGAAAATCAAACACCCAGAAAGTAAATGGTTTTATACGTATTTAACGTATATATTTGTTAATAACTTGCTCTATTTGCGCACTTATGTCATTTTAAACATGTGTTTGACTAAATTTTGAGACCCTATGGTTAGTAAAATCAAAATTTCTTTCACGCCGAATACGCCGATTACGCCGCCGCCGCCGGCCTTAAATTGACCAAAGCGCCGCCGCCGACCAAACTGGGGTCGGCGCACACGTCTAGTTTCAACTGATATTAAAACTCGTCCACCGTTGAACGAATCTTTCAAATTACGCATAGCTTGCCTTTGTTAAATTAAATACGAATGACCCGGTTAACAGTCTTTGATTTGCGGCTTTCCAAACACTCTAAATGTTAATAGAATTTTGTGCGTATAACGTGCACATTTTTTGTACACGTGAAATTTGCAAACAATATTCTGCGTATAAGTGCATAAACTTACGTAAATTTGAGCACAACTTCATGCAAAACGTCACACAAGTTTAAAATCATGCAATGCCACGTTCCAAATTAAACAATTCAGCGTGAATTTTTAGACTTTTCTTAGGCATAAATTATTTTTCATTTAGCTTGGTTGCGTTGCAAGGTAAAAGTAGTTCTTATTGCTATTAAGTTTTACTATCAACGATTCTTTCCATCTCTTTTTTATGACAACGGTGATCTTTTCGTTAGTGTATTTTTTCTTGCCTCTAAACATACTGGCTTGCAAAAGTCAACTTATCCACGCCACAATGATAAGCCGTCATGTTCAAACGAGTGTGACATCTCATTCAAACGAACGTGACAATATTCACATTTGTCAAATTCGTTGAGTAACAGTGCGGGAACCAAGTGGAAATCACTGTGAATTTCAGTGTTCAAACCCAATGAAATACAGTCGAGTTTCGATGAAATTCAGTCGAATTTTGGTCGTAATTCGATGAATTTCAGGTGAATTTTACAAGACTGATGAATTTTGCTCTGCAAATTACACTGGAGTTATTTCTTCTTGCGGGAACCACCCAAAAGTGATGTGTTGAAACGTAAGATTTTTATCTGGTTTTGCTTTTCTAGGTGGTACAGAAGAAGGAAGGTCGCCGTCGTCTGCGTCTTCCCCCGTCTCCGACTCACGGGCAACGAGATCCGCGACGAGGGCTTCTACCGCCAGCAAGTGCTGCTTCACGTGCCGTGGCGTGACGAGGACGCTGTGCTCGGCGAGCACGCCAACTGGCACGAGGTCTACGCGCAGCATGACATCGTCCCGCGTGGGGGCTAGCCCGCGCCGCAGGTCAACGAGGACGACGAGCTCGAGGACCTGGACTTCCCCGAGGCTGAACCCGACGAGGAGTGGATGGTGATCGCCCGGCAGCACCCCAACCAGGACGTGCAGCGCATCGAGATCGGCAGAAGAGAAATGGACTTGGCGCACGACTGGGCTGCGGACGCTGCCACCTACGGGGACGTCGGTCAGTTGGTGCACGCCGTGGAACTGAGTAAAGACCACCACGAGTTTGAAGCCGAAACCGCCGTGGCCCCCGACGTCCAGCTGACTGTGGAGCAGTCCGCCGTGATCCGCATCCTGGACCGCCAGATCGCCGCCGCGCAAGGAGCCGGTGGGCCGCCGCCGCCAATGCGAGTCATCGTGCAGGGCAAGGCGGGCTGCGGCAAGTCCACCGTCATCGCCGTCATGAAGTCCCACATCGTGGCTGCCTTTGGCCCGCGCAGCTTCTTGCTGGTGGCGCCGACGGGGGCAGCGGCCGACAACATCGACGGCGAAACCATCCACAGCGCGCTGCTGCTCACCGTCCCCATGTCCGCATTCGCGCCCCTCACCGGTGAACGTGCCAAGATGTTCCAGGAATCCATGGAGCCGGTCCGCTTCCTCATTGTGGACGAGTACTCCATGATCGGCTTGCCCATCCTGGGCATGATGGAGCGCCGCTGCGCCGAAGGCAAGCCAGGCAGCAGCGAAACGTTCGGTGGGCTCTTCGTGTACCTCATCGGCGACCTGGCCCAGCTGCCCCCCGTCCGCATGAAGCCCATCTTCTCCAACACTGGCTCCACCGCCATGGAACTGAACGGCCGGAGGGCATTCCAAGACTTCCGGCACGCCGTCGTGCTGCGGGAGTCCCAGCGCCAGTCCGACCCTTCCTTCCGCGCTGCGCTGGACGAGTTGGGTTTGGGCAAGTGCTCGGCCGAAGCCTTCGAGCGCTACCGGCAGCGCTTCTCCCACCGCGTGCCGCCAGCCGAGCAGCGCCTCTTCCGCGACGCCCTGCACATCTTCCCCATCAACAAGGGCGCGGCGGCGTACAACGTCAGCAGGCTGGAGCGCCTTGGCCGCCCCGTGGCCCGCATCCCGGCCAGGCACAACAACGCCACTGCGGCGGCTGCTCCCACCGCGACCGCAGGAGGGCTTAGCGCCACCTTGCACTTGAGTGTTGGCTCCCGAGTGATGCTGAGGGCCAACCTGTGGACCCGAGCTGGACTTGTGAACGGCGCTTCAGGGACTGTTGCTGGTATTGTGTACTCCGAGGGCTCCAGGCCTCCAGACGTGGCTCCTGCTGTCATCATGGTGAAGTTCGACCGCTACTCGGGGCCTGCTCTAGCGGCAGACGGCTCCGTCCCCATCTGCACCATCATGCGGTCCTGGAAGGAAGGCCAGACCATGTGTACCCGTGAACAGTTTCCCTTGAACCTGGCGTGGGGCTGTACTGTACACGCCGCACAGGGACTCAGCGTGGACCGCGTCGTGGTCGACATCGGCAACCAAGAGTTCTCTGCGGGCCTTGCGTACGTGGCGCTGTCCAGGTGCAGAGAGTGGAGCGGCCTCCTCATCGAGAACGCGTTCGTGCAAGACAGGCTTGACAAACTGCAGAAGAGGCCCAGTGTGCAGAAGAAGGCTGACGTCATCGCGCGCATTGAGAGGCTGGCCCGCGCTACTCAGCGACTCATCGACGCCATGGATCAAGGCAGTGCTCTGCCTCCTCAGGAGTCGTATAATGCGCGCTGTCGGTGTACTTGTAGTTGGAGGGTTTAAATGTAATAACTCCTACTAAACCGAACCAGTCGCTTACGGCTGAGTGTTGCTCGGACGGGGGGGATCAAGGCTATGCTAACTGAGTAAATAGGACTTGAATCTTTGGGAAAGGAGGAACCACCAAGTACTCACTCCAGATGTGGTGCTGTCGAAGGCCCTGACACGTCTGCCTGCGTGTCGCTACCCGCGAGCTGGCCAAGCCCAGAATCGCAAGCTAAGCAACAGTGTCGCCAGTTCGTCTTTTCTAGCCCGCGCGATTCAAACTCGCGCCATCCCTGAAATCCTCCCCCTCCGGGAGATGAACGTCCTCGTTCTAATTTCTTAACTAAGGGCTGAAAAATCGAAATGGCGACTTAAATTATTTCATTTAAGGCAGATTGGAATTTTGTGAATTTACTGTTTACATACATTAAAACTAAATTTCGATATTACATTTTGACGTACTTGTTGGTCCCATTTTATTTGTTTTTTCTTAGACAATGAAACACTTTACAATTAAAACAACTCTCTTAAGCTATTCTAAAATCCCCAGAAACCCTACGCTCAAAATTCCTGAATCCGAATATTAATTTTGTTGGTTTCTAATTTGACTTGATATGAATTTACTTTATTATAGAATGAAAGTCCAAAATTAGTTTCTTGATGTTTTCTTCGTTCTTGTACTCTCGTCCGTCGGTGTCGGAGCTGAAATGTCCCCATTTCATGCTGGCCTCGGTTCGGAAGACGAAGTTCCTCGTTGGAGCGCGGCTTCCGTGTCGCTGTGCGCTCGATGGCTTCACGCACTTTGGCACCCCCTACTTAGTTCAAGGGTGCCTCCGCACTGGCTCTGGTGTCGTATCCTTGGCGTCGCCCACGTTGTTCAATGCTTGCTCAAGGTGGCCAGGACTGTCTGTCGTTCTGGATGACAGGTTCTGTCGCCGGTAACGGTCTTCACGTTTCTGATGGTCTTGCTGGCGTTGGGCGTTAAGGCTACAGCAATTGACCACTGTGGAGCCACTTGACGATGTCAGTCCCGACTTAATGTCACAATCGAACGCCTCAGTGTCTATCCAAACGGTGACGGACTTGATGTACAGCGTCTATCCAAACGGTGACGGACTTGATGTACAGCGTCTATCCAAACGGTGACGGACTTGATGTACTGGCCGGTGATGGAAACTCGTTTCATGGCAACAGTCACAAGTCTGTGACGCTGCCATCTTGCGGCCCCTCCAGCTAGTGTCGTTGCACGATGGACGCCGGTAGCTGTTTTTCGGCTTGTGCTTCATGGTTTCCTGACTGTGTCCGCAATGTTGCTTGGCGGAAACAGTCGAATTTGGCACCGGACGGATGAAATCTGTCGGATCAGATCGCGCAAAGACGAAAAGCACAACAACAACACAACAAATGAAGGCACTTGGTGGCTAGGATAAGGATGGGGAAAAAGGATAGGAAAGTCGCACTTACAATAAGTATTGATCTAATGTCTAAACACCTACCTACCCATAAATATTGCCAAGCTATAACCCACTTAAAAAATAAAAATGTCCCACTTACGGTCTAAATCCTACGCCTAGTTAATGCCTAATTACAATATTTCTAAGTTGTAAAAAAAAATCTTACTATAAGATGTCATATCCTAATCGCTTATTGCTAGAGATCTCAACTAAACCTAAACTTACACTACCGAGCCGACATGGTAGAAATCAGATGTCACGCCAAAAATCGCTGTGGGACAATGAAAGCACATGCTCCTCCAGATTGCAAATTGGATCTTAAAGCCATCAGAATCAGTCCCAAACGGTTGCTACCAGGTCGCTTAATATGTTTGTCACAGACACAGGTGCCATAAAATCTGTCACAACACTTATTTTCGTAAATGAGGAACCTGTTTCCTGTATTTTCAAGTTTTTTGGCCAAATCAGGGTTTGTGCTGAATTTACTTGCAATGCAGAGCTCCATTCGCTTCTGGTAAAGTTTCTCACCTCCAATATTTTCTCCAATCTTCCTAGCCTCGGCTTCTGGATGTTTTGCAAGCATTATCCTATAAATATCATTTTCCTTTGTTGCTTTTCCTGCCTGGTATGCATGCTCTACGGTTGGAAACCAAAATCCATCAACACAAAACGAACGTTTTTCATCCAATGAAAGAAATTCGTACTCCCCGGTAAAGTCTGTAATCATAGAGTTCTTTGCTGAAGGTTGATAATGATACATGGTAACATGGATGCCTGATTTTCTGAAAACTTCCTGAATGATTTTCAGGACACGAGGCAGATCTCGTCCATCCAATCCACAAGCAATTTTGGGAATTGATAATTCTGTTTGAGAGTTGGCTATCATTTGATTCTTGAGTGACAGCAATGTCGCTGCTAAGGTCTCATAGGTAGGTTTTTCAAAATAGAATTGTTTTGTAACCAGGTTGTAGAAGTCTCTTCCAAGGGAATGAATACGTACTGCTTTACCTTTACAAATTTCTTCATCTGCAACTGACAACCAGTCACGCATTCGGAAAAAATATTGAATTTCCTTTGCAAATCCGGCATTCATCTTCAAATCAGCCGAAATACAATGTGCAATAACATGATCCAAAGGTGCATTTAAAACATTGTCATTTACATGCCTAATGTGGAATTTATCGTCCTCATCTAAATCAACTTTACTTCTTTGAACAACAATAGATTGTAGCATGAGATCATCTGGCCTTGTGTGGTATGGTCTGATGTTAACCACATGGTATTCTTTCACAACCTCTCTTTCATTTCCATGAGAGTCCTTTTCCTTGACCATGACATAATAGAACAAACCTGACTTTTTACCCACAATTTTGTATGGTCCAATCCATTTAATTTTTTTGTTAGGCCAAGAAATGTCATCACTTTCATTCTTGACTCTTACTAACTGTCCAATTGAATAAGTAACTTCTTGCCTACCCTTGTCATAATATTCTTTATGCTTAGCCTGGGAGGCTTCAATTTTGTCCTTTAAATCTTTCAAAAATTTTGTATGCTTCTGAAGCTTAACTTCTAACTTTTCATCTGATGCTGGCAAAAGTTGGACAATACCTGGCACAACAGGATGAAAACCATGCACTGCATAGAACGGACTACAATTGATAGAATCATGATAATTTATATTGTAGATAAACGTTGCAAACTGAAGGTAAGTTTCCCAATTTTCTTCAAACTGTAGGAGAAATTCCATGAGAATATTCTTCAAGGATTGAATCGACCTTTCAACTTGGCCATTGCAATGTGGTACCTGACGGAATGCATTATGAACAACATCCCATTTATTAAGCATTTCTTGGAAAGCGAAAGATGTGAAATATGAGGCACCATCGGTCGTGTAAGAATCACAAAGTCCAAATTGAAGCGTGAAATTTTCAAGACATTCTATTGCATTTTGAGAATCTGCTTTTCTGACTGGTTTTGTCCACATAAATTTAGTGTATGCATCTACAATCACACAAAAATGTTTGTTTTTGTTTTTGCTTGCTTTGAACTCGCCCACAAAATCACAAGAAATTTGAGAGAACATCTTTGTTGGAGGAGTTGGTTTCAAAAGCCCTGGTTTTGCCCTGGAATTTTCAGTACTCATGCAGAAATGACAACTTTTTACATAAGCCGAAATGTCTTTATGCATAGTTCTCCACCAAAATAATGTAAGAATATTCTGCAGCAAATGTTTTGCACGCCTGTGCCCCCTATTGTCATGAAACTCTGATAAGACATACTTTCTACAAGAACGAGGCACAACTAAAAGCAATTTTGAATTATACTCCCAATGAAGTAGACCATCTTTTAATTTGTAGTGTTTATCTTTTGTCCCCAAGGTTTCTGATTTTACCTGCTCCCCAATTTCTGCTAGCTCTGGGTCTGAATTTTGCAAATCTCTCAGGATAGAGGACTTGTTCAAAACAAAAGTCATGAGGTCCGAATTTTCGTTGGATTTGTTCCTTTCATCCAGCAACTCTGCTTCCTCTTCAGCAGATTGATCTCTAGCAGCTTGACCTCTAGTTGTAACTGAGTTTAATTTTGACTCTCCTTGAAACCTATCAGGAAAAACTTCCTCTACAAGATCATCAACCGAACACTCTGCTTCCTCAACAGGACTACGAGAAAGACTATCTGCATCAATATTTGCTTTTCCTGGGCGATAACGAATTGTGAAACTGAACTGAGACAAGTACAGGATATGTTTAGCAAGTATTCCTTCTGGCTTAGGTGTCCTCAAAAGAGATTGAAGTGACTGGTGATCTGTAAACACTTCTGTATTGACATTCCTATTCTGAAGATAGCAACGGAAATTTACAAATGCAAAAACAAGGGCTGAGCATTCTAAATAGTAAATTGGTAATTTTGTTTCAGAAGCTTTTAATTTTCTACTGGCAAAACCTACAGGGTGAAACCTTTTTGTCTGCTTATCTTGTTGGTACAGAGCTGCACCTAATCCTTTGTATGATGCATCTACTGTAATTCTATTGTTTGCTTTTGGATCAAAGAGCCGCAAAGAAAGTGGACTAGATAAGGAAGACTTAAGCAGATCAAAAGAATTTTGTTGTTCTTCCTCCCATTTGAATTCCACATCATTTTTCAAAAGCTTTAACAGTGGTAACGCTTTCTGCGAGTAATTCTGAATAAATCTTCTGTTGTAGCCATACACCCCTAGAGTAGTCCTTAACTCATCTTTGTTCTTTGGTTCAACCATTCCTTTAATGGCTTTAACTCTCCTTTCCGGAATAGCTACCGTTTTCCCGTCTACATCAAAACCTAAAAACTGGACTCTTTTCTGAAAAAATGTGCTTTTCTTTACATTAAGCTGGATATTGTTTTCTCTGAGCAATTGAAAATATTCTCTTAGTGTCTCCACATGTTGATCAAAACTCTCAGTCCCAATGTGTGTATCATCAAAGTAATTTACAACCTTTTTCTGCTTTTTCATTGACATAAGGAGATGATCCATAGCCAAAGCATATAAAGCTGGGGCTATTGACAAACCTTGAGGCAGGGTTTTCCACC